GAATATTCGCTATCGCGATAGCTAGCCGCGCGAAAAGTGGGGATGGTTGGCAAGCGCTCCGCCACCCGCACCGCGCACACCGCCGCTAGCCCCCAAACGTCCGCTTCGCGCGGCCCGTGCGCCCATCGCGGCGTTCTGTAGGCGTACACTCAATGGTGTGGTAGGCTGGACGAACGCGCGTATTTGCCAATCTTTAAAAATTAATATCTCGTTAACTATTGCTGCAATCCCAAAATGGTACAGGACTTTTCGACTCAGTATAGTCTGTTCTACCCACCCGTGAAATATTTGGCGGTTATTCTCGCCCACCTGTATATATATCTAAATGCTGCATTTAGCTGAATGCAGCTAATGTTTATTAACATATCCAAACCATTACATGAGTAAATATATTTTTAAATATATTCATTTTATTCGCAACACGTGTAATACATTTTTTTTTAAGTTTAGATTTGTGATATACATATAGTACAAAAATAAATACATATGTTGTATAGTTATAACTAAATAGATCCTAAAATCACTAAATGTATAAAAAAATTATTTTTTTTAATTAAAATTACATAATGTCCAAATAAATACATATTTCTTATAAATGTAATTAAATGTATTTATTATAATTTTAAGAGAGAGAGAGAGAAATTATATCTGTAAGTTAAAGTTTATTATATTTGAATAAAAAATATGTAGTTACTTTAATAATTATAACTGCGAGCAAATTCGCTTGGAAGTATGTACATTATACTACGCTCAAGTATGAACATGTTTAAGGGACGTTAATATTACGACCACGAAAAACAATCATTCTTTGCCAAGGAACTTGACCCTGTTCATGGTTGGCAAGATAATCGGCAAGTGTATTTCTTAAATTAACAGCTGCAGCAGCTGCACGATTCGAACCTATTCTATGCAAGTTCTGGATATTAGGTGCTATAGCACCTCTCCTCTATTCTCCTGGAATCGTAATTCCATTTTCATCCTCTTGATTAACATACATAGGAGGACAATATTTCTTAAATCTTTGTATATGTTCTTCCCTTTTCATTATAAAATTATGTAAGGTTACTGTTGCATAATATTTTCAACAGAATGTGGAAGTTGGGCTAATGAAGTCTGAAGAATACGCCATCTGAAACATAAAGGTGTTAACAATGACACTTTCCGGATAAATTTAATGTTTTTAATAATGATATTTTATTTTTTATATACCGTACCTTGCTGATAAAATTCCAAAAGCATTTTCTATAATTCGCCGAGCTCGAGAAAGTCTATAGTTAAAAATACGCTGTGTCTCAGTTAATGGATTTCGTCTAGAATATGGGCGCATCAAATTATGACGCAGAGGAAATATCTCATCACCTACAAGAAAGTAAGGCATCATGATATTTGTGCCAGGCAAAGGAGATGGTGGGGGTGCATTCAGTGTATCATTTTCCACAGCTTGACCAAATTCTGTAGCACTGAACACACTGCTATCAGGAAGCGATCCTGCAATACAGATACATTTATAGGTAACATTTTGTATTTATCTTATCTATTTATGCATCAACTCACCATAATCTCCAACATGAATTGATGTAAAACAATAATTTGCATCACATGTTGCCATTAACACTATACTAAAATATTGTTTGTAATTAAAAAATTGAGATCCAGTTTTTGCTGGACATTGAATTCTTATATGCTTGCCATCAAGGGCCCCGTTGCAATTGGGCAAATTTCATCGTTGCCAAAATTTATCAGCAATTTCTCTGTATTCTTGCTGAGTTGGGGGCGAGAGGTAAGTTGTACCTATAGTATTAGAAATAGCTTGACAAGTTTCCTGTACAACATCGTAGGCAGTAGATTTTCCAATTTGCCAATAATTAGCCATGGAAGGCAAGCTATTTCCTGAGGCTAGATAGCTGAAATAGACAATCATTTATAAAAGATTTTTCTATAACAATGGATCTAAACAAAAGATTACTTAATAATGGAATAGCTTACCAAATAGTGAATGCTAGGCGAAATTCAGGGGTTAGAAATTCTCTGTAGTTGGTCTTTTGTAGATATGGACTAATTATTTCTAATAATTCATCAAATATGTCGACTGTCATCCTTGTCAAGTTAAAAAATTTTTCGTGATCTGTATGCTTATATTTTAAAAATATTACTGTGTAAGAACCCTCGATATAGCGACGTCGATTACATGGACGCACCCACCATCGCCGATTTCGATATTTTCTTTTTCGATTATTTATTAAATATATTTGCAACAAGTGCATATTCCACGTATATAATAACATTGTTAAAAGAACGGTACCACCTACATCCATCTCGCCATATAGCACGTACTGCTTATAATAAAATCTTCAATAACACATACATCTTAACGCTTAAGTCTTGCATTGTGGATTACAGTCTTTAAGAATTACTAAAGTTTTAGGTTTTACGGTTTACAGCTTACGGTTTAAAGACAACAGTTTATTCTTAAAGCGAAGTTGTGGACCCAGCCTTACGCGCGTCGCGAGAACCGAGTCAAGTAACATCCGCGATAACGTTCGTCGCCGACCGATTTACTCATAAGTCACGAGCGCGATTAATAAATTGTAATCAATTATATTCAACACTTGTATTCAATTATACGAATAATCTAATACATTAAGTGTAACCAGTTAATAAAATTGTTATAATAAATAAAAGGGGTTATTTTAAATAAAAGTGTGGTGAAGTGAGAGTTTGTTCGACGACCTTTTTCACTATCCTCGTCTTTCCTTGTGGGTTCCAACCCTTTGAGCGGATCGAATTCCAAAATAATATCTTGTTGCACCGAGAGGTACAACACACTGTAATATTTTTATTGTAATCTGTTTTACTTATATGTAGGTATGTTCATTTTGAATTTGCATCTTGAATAATCTATCATTTACTTTTCGTGGTACATTTTAATATAAAGTGTTCTAGGTAGCACAATGTGTATTCTATATTAGAAGTTCTTTGATAAGGATCCAAACCGA